AAACGCTGCAACATTTGTCCACTGTGGAAATAAATAGCTACTCCTTAGCATTTAACACAATAGAATATGGACCCTATAAATTAATTTTAGACTGCTTTAGTACTTTAGGATAAGTACTAAATTTAGAGAAAGGTTGCTACCCACAAATTTTCCTAGTTATACCTATTGTAAATACCTATTAATGTTATTTTGAATATGGATATTTATATTTTTATTGTTTTTAGTGTTTTGAATTTTAATTGTGAGCTGCCCAAAGTTGCCCTCTGGAGAAGATGGGCGACATATTAATTAATTAATTAATTAATTAATTAATTAATTAAATGTTTGACACTTTCAAAAAATAAAAAATTAGGCTTATTTTTAACCTCCCTCTAGAATGAATATACTAAGGAATTTTCATCTTTATTCTTTAGCAATCACTTTTTCCCCACGCCGAATATTTGCCAACTCCAAGGTTCAGCTTTAAAGCTATTCTGCTGCCCATCTGAAGTTAAAAGTCCTAAAATCTAAGTTATTTCCCATTTCATCCCTTTCTCATCCACTCAAGTCTGCCTATCTAGCTGGAATGTGGGACAGAAGGTTCCTTAAATAAAGCTATTTTGGCTATTTTAGTTTTCAGTCTCTGCTTAAGAATCTAAATTTAAATTCCAGGACTTATTAAGTAAATTTCCTCTGCCACTGATATTCACAACTGCTGACTTGAGCACAGGGCTATTTATTAGGCATTCTTGATAACATAAGGTATTACAATATTCACACTGGGCACACAGGTCATTATATAACCTACCAGAACCTTGTGTATCAGAAACATCCTGGAAATGCGTATTCAGCACAAGATAACCGTTTATCTCTCAAGGAAAGGGACACAACACAGATCTGTTTCCAAGCTACCATGGGAATAAGATACGTACAGAAAACAATTAGTGTACTGCCATTTCTTTTCCCTACAGTTTCCAACTATAATTTAAAAACAATTATTTAAGGAAAGATAGGAAAGGCTAGTAAAGCAAGAACCCATGAACATACAACAGTAGTTTTTTGTTTCATTTTATGTTTTTAATTTATATTTTGTAAGCCTCCCAAAGTCCACTGGAGTGGTCAGTTATATTAAAAGTCCACTGGAGTGGTCAGTTATATTAAATCTAATAAATAATAATATATTATTATTAATATATAATATATTATATTATAATAATATACTTACACTCTTTCTTGTTTTTCAATCAGATATTTCTATGATTTTAAAAAAATCAAGCTATTTCTCTGTAAAATACATTCTATTATTTAAATTAATATTAATATAAATATGCTATCCTCTGAATGTTCAACTATAAAATAAAAACTAAAAAAATGTCAACCTAATATTAAAAGGCCAAATACAGTGGAAGACAATAGTACACTAGTACACAGTCTAAAAAGGGAAGTATAATACTCTAAAAAGCATTAAAAGAGGAATAACCAAAGCATGCAGAGCATAACGCTTTGGTTATTCCTCTTTTATTCATGTGTATTCACACATCCATGTGGAATGTCAATATCTTACTTAAGATTCCTAAAAGAGCCAATGTACAGGTCTGTAGGGGAGCTAGTCATAAAATGAGGAGTATGGAAAAATTAAATAATAATAATAATAATTCCAAACTTTACTAAATTAACCTTACAATATAGTAAGGATTAACAAAATATGCATGAAATATTTTAACTACTAAAATGGTGTTATATGAAACATTAGTCTGTTTTTTCCTCCCTTTAAATATCTCCTTCTTCCTCTACTTGAGAAACATTCTTATTATTGCAAATAAGGGGGGCAGGGAAGAGAGAATACTACTGTTTAACTCAGGTTATTTTATCAACCTGCTTCTGTGTGTTATACTGGTTGCAAATATCCTTTTGTGTGTGTGGGTGTGGGTGTTGCATTTCTGTTTTTGTTTTTCCTGAACTGTGTGGTTAAATATCTACCACACTAAATAAAAGTTTTTAAAAAGAAGTTGGTGTATGATGGTTTCAGAAACGTAAACGTGAGGGAAAGGAGTGCACTGAAGGAAAGCAGGGAAGGACTGACAAAAAGGAAGGAGAAAGACTGCGGCAGTAGTTTCTTCATAGAGTGAGAAAAAATAATGATGTAACATGCAAAATAATATGAGATATCTAATAGCCTCCTGATCCCCAAGATACAGATAAGGGCATTTAAAACATAAAAAGTGTTAGTCAGCTGACAGCATGTCTCCTCCTGTGGCAAAAGAAGAGCCCGTGCAGGAGAAAGGTGGAGAGAGCAGAGATCTAGGATTCTAATACTGTATTGTCATTACTGGAAAGCAGTGTGTCCTCTGTCCATCCAACCCTCCCTAACACATTGCAGTAGCAAATTATAGGTATTTCTACAACTGGCATTCATTATGAACTTGGATACTCTCTAGAAAATTACATGAGTTGGTCTGAAACGTCCTTATCTTTATTCCACCCCAAATACCATATATTCTAGAAATTCACTGGATTGTTTTCAGGCTTTGTTTCTTAATAATATGTGTTTTTAATTTAGATCTATACCTTTCCATTTCTAGATAATCTCTCAAGTATATGGAACCACTTATTTTTTATGACTCTGCTTTGCTTCCCAGCAGATTGATAGTTGCTAAACCAAATTCTCATTTAATGGTGTTTGCGATGAAATCTTCCAGTGTATTCTCCCTGTTAAAACAAAGCATTTTTTCTCCTTGATGCTATTCTATGTTTGTTTTCATCCAAATTTCTGTGGCTACTGAGCATATTTGGTTTTCACAGAACAGTCTGCAATTTTTTTCTGGCGTTTCACTACAATGGTTGTGTTCTCATTTCCCTGGAGTATATTTTTGAAAAATAAATACTTCCCCAAGTGTATATTCTTTTGTATATAGCAAAAGAATACAAGAAATAAAAATCACCTGAATTCTTTTTTATTAGATATAACAGTAACAGTAGTAACTGTGAGTGAAACAGAAGCCAGAAAATTTAGATAAATGGTAACTATTCTATGTTGTATGTGTTACATATGTCAGACTGGAATATAATTTATGTTAATAGTAGTTAACATAATCATCAGATTAGATTATCCAGAAATCAAATGGGAAAAGGTCTGCAAGCCAACAGAAATACGTTTAGCCAAACCTTCCTAGCTAGGGAGTAAAGAAGATTCAGTGTACTCCTGAATCAGTGAAACAAGGTTTAGTGGTCAAACAAGTCTGCAGCCATCAGAGACAGTAACTTCTCAAATGCATACTGAACATTTATGAGGCAGTACAAACACTAGCTTCATAATCAGACTAATTATTGACTGACAAGGCAAGGCACTTTTGAAAGAAGCAGTCTGAGAGGAGTTATTAGCTGCTCTTATCAGCTGAGCTACGGATCCCACTTTACAAAGACCATCATAATCTGGGACCCACTGAACTGACCATATTTATCACAACTAGTCAATAAAAAAACCCATGCCTCAGTTGTCTAGCTTTCCTTTTCCTTTTTAATTTTTTTTTTAAGTTTGTAAACCTGAGAGTAAGGAGACAATATGGTATTTTAGGATGATGGACTAGGATCGAGGAGATCCAGGTTCAAGTCTACCCTTAATTACAGAAGTTCACTGAATGAGGCCTCACAGCCTAAAATGGTTGTTGGGGAAGGGGACGTAAATATTTAATTATACAGACCATCTTGAGGAAAGGGGAAATATAACTCTTAGTCCAAAAGCTGCTTTGGAAACTTTTTATCTGAAGAATAAACTACAAATGCTTTAAATAAATCAACAGAATTTAGCTCAAGCCTGGTAGCAGGCAAAGGTGAATGAATACCTCTTCATTTTTACTTAATGGATAAATGTGTGGTTAGATGGCAATAGAATATAGGCATAACAAAAGAGTTTCAATTAAAATGTTGGTGGCAATTAGCTAAACCACAGAGCAGGCCGAATCTTAGGTTGACACTGTTAGGCCAATCAACATTTTGCAAGGACCAAGTTGTCCTGACATTCTGGCTTCCTCAAATGATATATGCCTGACCTCCCTACTTTGTACCACGTGCAGCAATAACAATCTCCTCTGCCATCCAGGTGGCCCAATGCAGTTGATACAAAATGGTCAATTTGCCATTGCATAGAATAGTTGTCTCTGAAATAAATTACTTAATTCTGGGAACTGCTGTAAGATTTGACCTGTCCTACAGTCACTCTCTTTCAGCCTTAAGAAGCAGGCAATGATAAACCACTTCTGAAATCTTGCAAAGAAAACTACAGGGACTTGTCTAGGTAGTCACCAGAAATCAAGACTGACTTGAAGACACAAAAAAAATAAAAAATAACAACCAGGAAGCCTTTCAAGTAGTTCCCAGTTTCTCTTTGCAGCTGCAATAGGTTCCCACTTGCTTTTCAAAAGGGTCATAATATTTTGCTTGAAGTAGTTTGAATCTTGAAGTATTTTAGTGGGTTTGCTTTAGGCTAGGGTTTTTATTATTTTGCTGTGATTTATGTTGCAATTATTTTATCATTTGTCTGTTTCCCCACTTGGTCGTTCTTAAAACAGCATTAAAAGATCTTCAATAACTATTCTTGTAGGATGGGCAGAGAGAGCAGATAACTCGCAATTAAGTGTCACAGCTCAAAGCTCCTTAACTAATATATAGCACCACCACTTGCCCGTCCTTTTTTGTTTTTAATTTTATACTGGATGATTAACAAAGGAAGCACGGGATCCCTTTGAAAGTGATGTCACCATGACGGACCTATATTATCTGGAAACGACAGTGACCCGAGGGGAGAAAAAGACAGCCTGTTCCTGATGGGGGGCGGGCTGTCAAGGTGCAAGCGCCCTGCCTCACACACCATACAGCACATTGCTCAATTTCACCTGCAGGCACTACCAGCCAGGCAAGAGGTCAAATAATACAGCGTCTCAAGCAAGAGCTGCAGGAAACGGCTCTGCCCGGGCGATGTTGTTTACAAGCGGACTGGTGAGAGCGCGCGCACGCATACATACACAGAGAGGTTCTCACAAGCAGCAGCCACCGACCAGCGCGCGGCGGGCGATCACTCCCGCACACTAGCTATACCATTTCCTCCTGCCTTTCTCGCCCCCATCTCCCCGCCAACTTGAACGAAGCGCCTCGCTGTACCCACAGAATCAACCTGGCGAGCGAGCCTCAGCCCGGGCCTCAAGCCGACGCGCCGAGCGGCCCGCACAAGACTTGTGCACGGCTTCCCTCGCGCGGGCTTCCCCCTCCCATGCTTGCTCTAAGGCGGAGCTTCGAACAGGAAGAAGCCGCCGACTGCGTGGCGTAGTTGGTAAGGAAGAGCTGGGTCGGGAGGAAGGAAGGATGGGCTGCGGAAAGGTTAGCCGGGTAGGTGGCAACCCCGTCCCTTGATGGCAAGGCTGCGAATACTCTGAGATCCGTGCAAGTTACCCAGCGGCTACAGCTAAAGCAAGAATGCCTGCCAAAAGGAGGTTTTGCAGATTTTACCAAGAATAAAGCGAGAAGAGTTGAATGGTATTGCTCTTCCACACTTGACAATATTTCCTTTTGGCATAAACGACGTTATTGCAGATAATGGAAAAGGCAACAAGAAATAGTGAACCAAGGAAATTAAAGGGTTAAGAACGAGAAAAGCAAACGGGCCGAATCCTTTAGTTAATCCTCGCTTTAGTTCTCCATACATTTCTATTCCACCGTGTCTAAGATATACTGCTTCCTGTACTTCTGTATTTTAAAGTTCTCAGCTCTCTTTCTTCCTCTAACCAACTTTATTGAGCTGCTCCTTCCTCTTGACCCATTATGCTTCCTTCATATAATTCTGTTTTATTCAGTCCTCATTCATTTTCTCTGTATAACTAAACCACCTCAATGTACTTTCATACTGGTCACTCTCTTTCTTATTCATTCTGCATACATTCAGTACCAATTCATTCTTAATTCTAAATTTAGACCATTTGTTACAGTTCTTCCCTTAATATATCATTATATTTCCAATACATATTTCTAAAATATTCCTTCCAATTTTTCCTCATTTCAGTTTCACCACAAATCATTTTATAACTTTCAATTCCATTCACTCTGCTAGAGTCCTCATGTTTAGCCCTCTTTCCCGACTTCCAAAACAATCTTCTCCAATCAAAATCATTTTGCATTTGCTTTGCCTCTTTTAATCTGAACTGTTCTCTTTTGCTATGTTCTTTGCAATTATGTTTCTCTTATACACATTATACAATATCATTTCTCATTTTTGCAGCAATCATTCTCTTAATATGCAATTTTCTCATCCACAGATTTTTCACATTTTTTCATTCCAAGCATCAATTTTCACACTTCCCATCAGCATACCCCTACAAGATTCTCTGGCACCCTGCAACATAATTCTTTTCAGTCTGTTCCATGCAGTACACATATCTTCTTTCTTATCTAGTTTCCTTTCCCCCCCAGATCATTCCTGAAACTGCCAAATAAATGCTCTGTCCCACACAGAGAAGTTCTCAAAACCCTTGCATCCTTCACTAATTCTCCCAGTCATAAACAATCATCATAAACAATTAAGGCTTTTACATTTATATTCATTCCTGTCCTACGTATGAATCTTTATGCTTAAACCATGAACAATCAAAAAGTATGTTGGGGGTTTGATGGTAGAAAGAGACATGGCCTTCTGCAGCTGCAACAATCCGCTATCTTTTAGCAAGAAGTTGTCCTTGCTTGAATGTGGACATATTGGTGAACCGTGCTTCTGACACAAGGCCCAATGAGAAAGGCAATACACTAATCCTTGTAAGCCGCACATTCTGTTCCGTGGATTCTCTTATATGCTTCTATAAAAGTGTAACCCATTTTTCATCAAATGCAGTCTCAGTGCACCTATACGCAGCCATGTGTAGTAGGGAAAAAAGTCTGAGAGCCTTACCACCCAGCGTCAACACAAACTACACAAGGGAAACCATGTTCTTGTTCTCAGGGTGTTTGTTGTGTTAACAAGTCTCCATGTTGTTCTGGTAATAGTTCACATGTTCTCACTAGGATCAATGCTTCAATATTTATTTATTTATTTATATATCAAATTTATATCACCCATCTCCCCCACAAGGATAAGCACACTTTCTGTTTCTGCAGGGTTTTTCAAGAACGTAACCACTGTGGATAATGAGGATTGAGTGTACTTATACTTCTGTGGTCATACAAAATATTCCTTAGGAGGAAGCAACACAAACAAGGTCTGTGTTTCCTCTTTCTTGTATTTTAAGTTCCTATGTGACTTAACATTTACTCTAGTTTCTAGCATGTTTAAGGAATATGTACTATATTTTTGCTCTGAAGCAGGAGTAAACAAAGAGTACTATTAACTCATATACTTTTGCTGAGCTATGTTTCTCTGTAACAGAATTTTACTTAATCATTTGTAAGTCTTTCTGGCCTGTGGAGGCAGTTGAAAAGTTTGTAAAGTCATATAAAAATAACACAATCTCTGCAAACAATACAATAGCAGCACCCAACTTTTAGCTATAGACCAGCAATCAACCAATTAATAGTAATTTCAATCAAAAGCTGATTCAGAGACCCAGGTTTAAAAGCAACCAATGGCTTCATGTTTCCTATGAAATAACCTGTTCCGATCTTGTGATGAGATATGGACCTACAGGTCGTCCAGTCAGGACCCCCTGTAACTATAGTATAACTATAACCCTAAACTACAGGTAGCTTAAACTACTAATTACTTTATTAAAACAGCACCAGACAGATAACAGTAACCTGGCTGCTTAACTCTGAGTCACTACTGCAAGCCTGAATCCTCAAGTACAGGTAGTGACTATGACCCATTTCTTAAAGGTGCAGTAGTAGCATACGTCACAAATAGAGGAGCCACCAGCAGTCAAAAGGATTTGTCTCTGGAACCTGCCAACTTGATGAATTGGACTGATGGAGTTTATATGCAGTCAGGATATGTGTTACTCCAGGACCACCGACTGGTTAGGGCAGGGTTTTTTCAAACTTTTTCAGACCACAGAACCTGTGTGTTAAAAGGAATAATTCCCAGAAGCCCTGATCAAGAGGCAAAGCAATGAGTCATCATGAGCAAAAACCCTCCGGCCCAGAGGCTACTGAATGTCATTGCACAAGTCCACCTTTCCACAGTATCTTTGAAAATTTTCTATAGATCTCTCTGGCAGCGTTCAAGTGAATTTTTTTTTTTTTTTTTTGCACTTTGTCTCTTGTGGAACTCCATCAAGTTGTCATGAAACTCTGTTTGAAAAATCCTGGGTAGGGTAGGGCATTGATTGAATGACATTTTTTGCACATCCCTTTTGCTTAGCTGGGGGAAGTATTGATTGACTCAGGGAGTTCTCTGCTTGCTTTCAGGTTTGCAGAAGTGACGATGACTGCGGGGTAGCTTCAAATAATTTGTGAGGGGCTGGGAGCAGAAACCCTTGATGATAGGTAGCTGCAACTTCAGAAGCTTTTTCCTGGGCTATTGAAGGATGATTCTGTGTCACGGCCTATTAATGCCTGAAATATTAGCAACTTCATTACAAGTTTTGAAAGCCTGGTGACCAGGGGTGTACAATGTTTTATGGCTGAGGGCTGTAAATACTTGGGGGTGGAAGACAGCAGATACTGGAGCAATTATGCAAAATGGACAAAACCCGGATTTCCTATTTTTTCTCAGATTTGCATTTTAAATTGCATTAAGCCATGCACTACAGTTTTTTCACTGTAAGCTGCTGAGAGTCCTTCTGATTGTGGTGGCATAGAAATATGTTTAATTAATAATAATAACAGCAATAATAATAATACAGTTTTATGTTCATATTCCAAAACAGGAGGAAATAATACTCCTGATTTTTACCACTCATGTCACCAATTTTAGCAGTGTGGTCAGAAGGAGCTCAGAAGGTTTATACAACCATTCCTATCCTTTAGGAACCATCCGTGTTTCAGTTATATTGTCCTCAGAAAGTACAAACCCAATATTTATACATGTGGAAATGACCACAACTTGTCAGAACTTATTTTAAATACCTTACAAGTAGGAAGAATTACATTTGTTTCATTAATCTTGGTTGTAATGTAACACTTTCACCATTCTTACTGGAGTCACTTTCCCTATGATAACCAATTGCCACAAAGTGTAAGGTAGTTTGAATTGGCTGAAATGATATAGTTCTCTAAAGCCACATCATTTCCAATGATTTTGCCACTTGTATGTATGTATGTATGTATTTATCATATTTATTTAACCATCCATCTCACACAAGGCGACTCAATATTCAACTATTATATGTACAATTAATCAGGTCTCAATTCTGGCTTACAAGATACTTATACATATGATAGCGTGCCTCTTCTATTATTGGCACAATTGTATCTCCTATTTACAATCATAATTATACAAGTGTTGTTTTAATATTTCATGCCTCAAATTCTAGGTAGTGAATTACCTAACAAAATATGTAACAGGATTTTTTCTCTCTGTGTGTGTCTCTCTCTCTGACAATGGTTAAAACAGAACATAAATTCAAGCTGGGTTTTCCATAATTTTTTTTTCTGAAATCCCTATAGTATTTTATTCATCAACAATAGACTGCTCCTGCTAAGATATGTTTGGTAACACAACTACTAATACATTTTGGTGTGTCATATATTCAAGGCCAATACTTTCAGAGCTGTGATAGCTTCCTGAAGATAGGTATGCAGTCAAACACCATGTAAGTGACAATGACCCTGAAGGTCTTTCTGGGGGATGACAGCCACCCACATGTTCTCAGTGACCTTATGTTCAATTGATCCAGCATGGGTTCCTTCACTTAAAAGGCCATAAGTATTACAAGTAAAATCAGATTGTAACCAGTCTACTATAATCTGTCAGATGGAAGAGTAAAAAAAACAAAAAAACAATCTGCTTTTTGTTTCTAACAGAAATAATTTTTCACCTTAATAACAATCCTATTCATCTTTCTAAAATATTGGTGCCCAATCTTTTGTACATAAAAAAATCCAAAACAGGTTGAGTATACTGAAAATGAATACAAATAAGTTTTAAACAAGTAACTAATTAGATTAAATTCATTTTTTATAATTTTATTAAAAGTTTTTTTAAAAAAAGTTAAAAACGAATACAAATGAATAAGAAAG